CTAGGACTTGGGGATATGGCAGTGAATAAAATAGCTGCTATCCTCATGAAGCTTATGGTCCCCTGGAAAATACTGGTGATAATAATACGTATCCTGTATTGACTGTCATGCCCTGTGCTAAACACTTTACTTGGGGGATCCCAACTATAATCCTCATCACTTTAAGAAGTAGGTACTATTGAGACAGTGCAGCAAAGAGGGTGGCCCTGCCCTGGTGAATACCTAAGGCCCTGCCCCCTCACCACTTAACAGGTCTGCAGAGACAAAGAAATATGGCCCAAATGAAAGAACAGAGCAAAACTCCAGAAAGAGAGCTAAGTGATGAGGAGAGAGCCAACCTATCTGATGGAGAGTTCAAAGCCCTAGAATGAAAATGCTCACAGATCTGATTGAGCTTAGTTGAAAAAATGAAAGAACAAATAAAGGATACCCAGAGTGAAATAAAGCAAAATATTCAGGGAACCAACAGTGACAGGAAGGAAACCAGGACGCAAAACAACAATTTGGAACAAAAGGAAGAAATAAACATCCAACTGGAACAGAATGAAGAAACGAGAATTCAAAAAAGTGAAGAGAGACTTACAAACCTCTGGGACAACCTGAAACGTTCCAATGTCCGAATTATAGGGGTGCCAGAAGGAGAAGAACAAGAGCAAGATATTGAAAACGTATTTGAACAAATAATGAAGGAAAACTTCCACAATCTGGCCAAGGAAATAGACTTCCAGGAAGTTCAGGAAGCCCAGAGAGTCCCAAAGAAGTTGGACCCAAAGAGCAACACACCAAGGCACATCATCACTAAGTTATCCAAGATTAAAGATAAGGAGAGAATACTAAAAGCAACAAGAGGAAAGGAGGAAAATTACCTACAAAGGAGTTCCCAGAAGACTGTCAGGTGATTTCTCAAAAGAAACCTTGCAGGCAAAAAGGGGCTGGAAAGAAGTATTCCAAGTCATGAAAGACAAGGACCTACATCCAAAATTACTCTATCCAGCAAAGCTTTCATTTAGAATGGAAGGGCAGATAAAGTGCTTCCCAGATAAGGTCAGGTTAGAAGAGTTCATCATCACCAAGCCCTTACTATATGAAATGTTAAAGGGACTTATATAAGAAACTGAAGAAGATCAAAAAATATGAACAGTAAAATGACAACAAATTCACAACTCTCAACAACTGAACCTAAAAAAAAGTGAAAACAATGAAAACAAAAACTAAGCAAACAACTAGAACAGGAACAGAATCAGAGAAATGGACATCACATGGAGGGTTTTCAGTGGGGAGGGTGAAGCAAGGAATGAGGGGAAAGGTACAAGGAATAAGAAGCATAATTGGTAAGCATAAAATATACTGGGAGACGTTAAGAATGGTATAGGAAACAGAACTCAAAGGACTTATATGTACAACCCATGGACATGAACCAAGGGCAGGGGAATGCTGGAGAGTTGGGGGGTACAGGGTGGAGGGGGGATAAAGGGGGGAAAATTGGGAAAACTGTAATAGCATAATCAATACACTATACTTAAAAAGCTATACTTAAAAAATAAAGTTTATAAAAGTGAAATAAATGAAAACTTATAAGTAAAATATAAAAAGGAAAAAAAAAAGAAGTAGGTACTATTAATATCCTCCATTTTATAGAAGAAGAAACAGGAAAATCGAGATTAGGTAACCTGCCCAGGTAGAAAGCAGCAGAGCCAGAACACAAACCCAGGAAATCTAGTGCTAATGCCCCCTTTCTTAACCTCTACACAAGACTGAGGTTAAAAAGGGGCTGGAGTTTACAAGAGATGCAAGTGGAGGTGAGAGAAGTTTTGCTACCTCGTGAAAGCCCCTCTCACAGTTGTTTATTCATCAGTAGGTATTTCATTTCAAAACAATTTGTATATGTAAAAATGTCTCTTGTTTTCCCCTCTTTAAAGGCAGCTCTTCTAAAAATGCACACACACATTAAAAAAAAAAAAAGGAGAATAAAATAAAAGCAGCCCTTCCTAAGTCCCCTGCAGCCAGGTGCCCGGATAGTTCCCAGTTCTGGGTGCAGAGTCCCTTACTGAAACCTTCATGCAGCCTTCTCCATCTATCACACCCCTCCACGGCTCCATAGTAATCCCTCAGCACTAATGGTTTCCATCACGTCTTATGCCAACAAATGCCGTTTGTACTGGAAAAAAAAATCTATAACTCCAAGGACGTTAATAATTAACTTCCATACCACAAAACTTGTAATATCAGTTTGCTGAAATAAAGTCACCAGTAAGTATTTAATTCTTCTTTAAAGGGTGTCTTCTGTTATTATTATTTTAGAGTACAATTTAGTCATCAAAGGTTTACTCATCCTCATGTTTATAAATTATATAGGGCAGGGATTTAACTCTTCTGGACCTACCTGTTCTGAAAAGAGGGAGGGTCATAGCCCTGTTGCCACAGCAGGCACCCGGGGGGAAAGATGATTTGTGAACTTGCAGCTCTGTACCTCTTTTAGAAATCTGCGGCAAATATAGAGATTTCCCTCTGTGATGCAATCAGAGGAACAAGCAGATAGTTAGTTGCCTGCCACAAAGCAGCACTGGCTTTCTTCCTCTAGCAGACCTATTGGGAAACCCAAGTTCATCTTTTTAAATTGAGTTTCGGAATCTTGTCTTGATTATATGACATAATAATAGCAGCTTTCCAATTCATCTAATATTGTGTTTCATTGTGGTGGTGACTTTTGTTAAAGGGCAAGGGTTACTGCCTTAGAAAAATGAAAACAAAGCAGAAAAACACCTCATGCACTGGCTACCTAAGTTGGAAACTCCAAATCCTGACCTACATGTTTATATTCTGAGGGTGATGGCTGCCAATCAAGGGCTCATCCAACTTCACTGAGGTTTAGGAACCCTGGCCTTAATGGAAAAGTGGATAACTTTTCCAAGTAATCCTCAAGTCCTAGCATCCCAAAACATTTTTTTGGCATCACAAAGAAAGTGTCTGTATGTGTGTGTGTGTGGGGGGGGGGGTGCCGGGAGGGGGAGGGAGGTTAACAGGTGTTTTCCTTTCTTGATCCTTGTTTTTGAAAAGAGCATTATCTTCGGAGTTAAAGTAACTGGCCTGCTCCTATGGAGCGGGGTGGAACCCCTCTAGGCCAAGGGAGGGAGAATCATGGTTTTCTTGCCAAAGCACGCCCCCCCTCCCCCAGCTGCGGACCTTCACAGCCGTTGGCTCACGTCGAGTTTAAGGATGGAAGTCATCTATAAGGGAGTCCAATTCCCCGGCCTAGCGTTGGTAGGGTGGGCGTGAATTCATACGAAGAGAGATGCATTCCAAGAATGCTTCTGTGGTCGGTAAGAAGTGGAAAAATCTGGGGTAACAAATATTCTTAGGAAACCTAATAGGTACCGTAATCTCACGACTCAATCAGGTGACAACTTAAAGTACTAAGCAGGTAGACCTCAAAGAAGGTGAGTCACACTCTGCCCAGGGCTGGAGCTTGGACCTTTTTCCAAGACCCTCGCCTCCCTCCCCGCCCTGGGCTGACACCCGGCGGGAGCTTCAGCATTTACTAGCTAGGGATATCGGTGCGAAGAGCGGGCGGAGCTCTCGGTACGCCTGAATCCAAACTAAACACCTCGCAGGCGGACGTTTAGCAAGCGATACCGAACACCGCACTCACGTTTTAAAAAAAAGGCACTGTTTGCAGAGAAGACATTGGGCGAAAACATTTCCTGGCTGGAAAATTACTGATCACAAACTAGACGGGGAGTGGGGGTGGGGAGGCAGAGTTGTAACACTTGAAATAACGATCGCCGTTTCCTCTTCACTTCCCGGTGGACAGAGACCGCAGCCGCCAGCTCGGTGTGCCCCATTCGAGAACCGGGGTCCTACTGCATCGCTCCACTTCCTGGCTAAGTCCCTTTCAGTGAGGTTGACCGTTCGGAGCCTCAGCCAGGGGAGCGAGTTGCCGTTTGACCTTTATCTCGCCATTTCACCTCTTTATGAGTCAGTTTGCTCATCTATAAAGTGGAAAGGAGAGTGCGTGGCTTGTAAAATGCTTGAAATTCCCTGGTTGAAAGGTGTCAGTCCCCGAGCCTCACAGCCCCTGTGGCCCGCGCCCCACCCCCACCCGTAAATCTTGAACCCTTTCACTCGCTTCCTCGCCCCTTTAAATGTCAAAACCTTTACTCCTTTCCCCATGCGGGTCTCTTCACGCCCTTCCCAGGCGCGGAACAAGCCGCCCCCGTCCCCAGTCCAGTTTTCTCAAGTTTCCAGTCTTCGTTACACCGTGCTGGGCACCCGCCTCCTCTCGATACCCTCTCCCTCACCCCCCAGAAGAGCCCGCGAAGAACCTTACGAGGCCAGGCCAAGCGCCCGCATTGGCGCTGGGGACCAGCGCCCGGCTCCTGCGTGCGTAAGGGAGGGACGGAGGGCTGCATGAGTCACGCGAATAATCGCGCTTTTCTCTAGTGCGCATACAGCGGCGAGTGCGTTAACCATCCCCCCTGCCCCACCGGCCTTCTCAGGCCCGGCCTTCGAACCTAGTAACTACCCTGGCTGCACCGGGACCGGACCTGCGCCGGGTACACGGAGCCCCGCGCCAGGACCGCCGCCGTCACCGCCGCCGCCGGCGTCAGCGCGGCTCCCGCCCGCCAGCTGCCGGGCTGGCGTCACCGCGGGACTGGGCCCCGCCCGCGCCCCTCCTTCCCCTCCAGTGTCCCTCCCTCCCCCCGCCCCCACGTGCGCCGAGTTTGTTTATTTAGCTGTCAAGGCAACGCGAGGGGGGCTGGGAGGGAGGGGAAAAGAAAGGGAGGGGCGGGGCCTAGAGGCGCGCCGCAGCGAACAGCCGGTAGGAGGCGGGGGGAAGGGTCGGAGCCAAAGTTATAAGTAAGGAGTGCGCGTCGGCTGCCGGCAGTTCCCCTGCCCGAGAGAACGACCGCCGCTGCGGGCGCGCGGGGAGCAGAGGCGGTGGCGGGCGGCGGCGGCGGCACCGGGAGCCGCCAAGTGCCCCTCCCCGCCCCTCCGGCCCCCCACCCACCCACCCGCCTGCGGCCAGCGCCCATGGACGCGCGCGCCTCGTTCAGCCCCCCGGACTCTGCGCCCTGTGCCGCCGCCCAGTCCTCAGATCCGCGCCACCGCGGCCAGTCTCACCTGGCGGCGCCGCCCGCCCGCCACCCCGGCCACAGCCCCAGCTCTCACGGCGACAGCCGCGGCGACCGCGACAGCGGTGGGGGACGCTCCTGAATCGAAGACAGCAGCCCGGCCACCGGACCTACTTACTCGCCTTGCTGAGTGTCTTATTTTTATAAGAATTTACGACTTTTATAAGAACTTTTGTATACAAAGGAACTTTTTTTAAAAAAGACATCTCCCATTTATATTTAATCCAAAGAAGAAGGATCTCGGGCAATTTGAGGTTTTGGTTTTGGCTTCATCGTTTTTTTCCTCTTTGTTGACTTTGGGGTTCGGGTACCCCTACATTAATGAGGTAGGTGCAACGCAGGGCGAAGGGAGGCGTGAGGGCTGGTTAGACACACCAGAATGGCGATCGAGAGTGGGTCCCTGACTCCTGCCTTCCTTTGCGCCCCACCCGGCCCACAGGCAGCCACCTGGCGAGTCTGACATGGCTGTCAGCGACGCGCTGCTCCCGTCCTTCTCCACGTTCGCGTCTGGCCCGGCGGGAAGGGAGAAGACACTGCGTCCAGCAGGTGCCCCGAATAACGTGAGTGTTGCCCTGGGTCGTGGGGAACGTCCGGTGGGCTTCTGTGGGTAGGGTGGGGATGGGCGGAGCCCTGGAGTCACCGAGAACCCTAGGGACAGGGGAAAGAGTGCACAGGGCTCCGCAGTTTTCTCGGGATGGCTTCTGCGCTCTTGGCTCAGCTGTACATGCGTGTGGTCTGGACACTGCGGAGCCGCCGGGGGCGCACGCCGGGTCCACAAACGTCCCCTATCACGCAGGTAGTAGGGCAGGCGCGCGGGCCACAGGGCCGGTCTGAGAGAGCTTGGCGCGTAGGCGTCCCCGTGGCGAGGGCACACCGGGAGAGCCTCGTTGTCCCAATTCCGGGGACGGCGGGAGCGTCCCAGGATCTGGCGGGGGAGGGACCCAGGCTGGCGAGCCGAGGCGCTCGCTCACACGCAATCGGGCAGACACAACATATCACTCTCCTAACAGACGCACCGCCTCTCCTCGGACCCGAGTGTGGGCCGAGATTGGAGCACTGGCTCTGGAGTTCTGGGCGCTGCCTGCCCATTCCCCATGCCTTGGCAGTGTAGGTGCGCCTGGCCAGCCAGTATGTCGGGTAGCAGCTGGAGAATACCACTGATGGTCTCTCTCTCGCCCTGTCCCCGCAGCGCTGGCGGGAGGAGCTCTCCCACATGAAGCGACTTCCTCCTCTGCTTCCCGGCCGCCCGTACGACCTGGCGGCTGCGACCGTTGCCACCGACCTGGAGAGTGGCGGGGTAGCTTGTGGCGGCAGCAATCCGGCACTCCTACCCCGGAGAGAGACGGAGGAGTTCAACGATCTCCTGGACCTGGACTTTATCCTCTCCAACTCGTTGTCCCATCAGGAGTCAGGGGGCGCCACCGTGTCCTCATCGGCATCAGCCTCATCCTCGTCCTCCCCATCGAGCAGCGGTCCTGTCAGTGCGCCCTCCACCTGCAGCTTCAGCTATCCGATCCGGGCCGAACCGGGTGTGGCACCCGGCAGCACGAGTGGCGGCCTCCTCTATGGCAGGGAGTCTGCGCCCCCTCCCACAGCTCCTTTCAACCTGGCGGACATCAACGACGTCAGCCCCTCGGGCGGCTTCGTGGCCGAACTCCTTCGGCCCGAATTGGACCCAGTGTACATTCCGCCGCAACAGCAGCAGCAGCAGCAGCCGCCGCCGCCGCCAGGTGGCGGGCTAATGGGCAAGTTTGTGCTGAAGGCGTCGTTGAGTGCCCCTGGCAGTGAGTACGGCAGCCCGTCGGTCATCAGTGTTAGCAAAGGCAGCCCGAACGGCAGCCACCCGGTGGTGGTGGCGCCCTACAGCGGCGGGCCCCCGCGCATGTGCCCTAAAATCAAGCAGGAGGCCGTCTCCTCGTGCACCGTCGGTCGGCCCCTGGAGGCCCACTTGAGCACCGGACCTCCTCTCAGCAATGGCCACCGGCCGCCTGCGCATGATTTCCCTCTGGGGCGGCAGCTCCCCAACAGGACTACCCCGACCCTGGGTGCCGAGGAACTGCTGAGCAGCAGGGACTGTCATCCTGCTCTGCCGCTTCCCCCAGGCTTCCATCCTCACCCGGGGCCCAACTATCCACCTTTCCTGCCCGACCAGATGCAGCCGCAGGTCCCACCACTCCATTACCAAGGTCAGTCCCGGGGATTCATAGTTCGGGCTGGGGAGCCCTCCGTGTGCCGGCCCTCTGGGGCCCACTGGATGACGTTGACCCCACCTTCTTCACCCCTAGAGCTCATGCCACCCGGCTCCTGCATGCCTGAGGAGCCCAAACCTAAGAGGGGGAGAAGGTCGTGGCCCCGGAAAAGAACAGCCACTCACACTTGCGATTATGCGGGCTGCGGCAAAACCTACACGAAGAGTTCTCATCTCAAGGCACACCTGCGAACTCACACAGGTAGGAGAACAGAAGGGGCAGAAAGGAGAGGAGGGCGGGTTGGTATCCAGCCCCACCCGCCAACTATGGCTACTCCTTGGGGCCTCTCTTGGGATGTGGGGTGCAGTCTATCTCTTCCATCTGGATCACGGGAGAGAGCTGCAAACGGCGCCGACTTTTTTGCCCAGGAGCCTTTTGCCTGATGGATGGTATCAGTGCTTAAATGTGCAGTTTTGTCAGGCCTTTGAAGGGCAGGGAGATTCCAGGCTGAACGTGGGCCTCTCTTAGCTGAAGAAAAGCTCTGCCCTTGTAATCAAGAAATTATACTTTGCTGTGGAAAAGCACGGTGGGCTTTTTAAATCCATTTTTAACTTTCTAGACCATTTGCATTGTCTGATCCCTTTCTCGATTCACTCTTTCTATTTTTTAGTTCTAGTCTTACAGTTAGACTTTATTAAATGTCAAGTATTTAATGGTTCTGATTGCTGAGAATTCTGGTTTAGGATCCTCAGCTGCAGAGAATTTCCATATCAGTTGAAGTAGTAGGTACACAAAGTCATGTGGGTGTAGCACAGGACTTTTTCTGTTAGTAAAATAACAGAAATTGGGTACAGGAAAAGTAGCCTCCTGTGGCTTTTTCAGACCCAATTTAGTGGAATAGAAAATTATGACTCAGTTTGGACCAAGAAGAAACACACTAGCAGACATAACTTTTATGTCTACCACTGTGATATCTTGATTCAAAGGAATGGCAATGTTAGCCCTGTAGAAGTGTAGGCTAGGTGTATCTGCTTTTCCAGGTTCAACTCTCTAATGCTCCTCTAAAAAACAGGAGCAAAAACAATGTGCATGATGTATTCTCACTTATGATCTGGCATTCAACATGGCCTTACGTGGTATTAAGACATTCCTAGATCCTTTCAGAGTGGGAAGACTGGGATACTTGGGGACTTGGTTTTAATATTTGGGCTCAGGTTTTGGGGGAGCAGGCTCCAATTTTTTTACATGGCCAATTCTTAGTGTTTTTTTTTTTAATTTTGTTTTTATTATTAAGGTAGAATTCACATAAAATGAAATTCTAGCCTTTTTAAAGTGTGAAATTCAGTAGAATTAAGTACATTCATAATGTTCAACTAGAACTGTCTAGTTCCAAGACATTTCAAACCCCCAAAGTCAACCTCCAAGGAGTTAAGGCAGTCACTCTCATTCCCTCCCCCTAGCCCCTAGCAAGCACTAATCTGCTTTCTGTTTCATTGAACTTATCTATTCTGGATTACCATATTTTCTTGGATAATTGACCCCCTTATCATTATGTAATATCCCTCTTTATACCTGATAATTAACCCTTGTTCTGAGTTTTCCTGTATTTTCTTTCCTGTTCTGAAAATACTCCAGCTTGCTTTCAACTAGTATCAGCATGGTATACGGTTCTATAGCCCTTTCGGCATTTTATTTGTTTTAGAAATTCTTTATTGAATTTTTGGAGGTGATGTTGGTTAATAAAATTATGTAGGTTTCAGGTGTACCGTTCTATAATATGTCACCTGGATGTTTGTTCTTGAGCGATGGCTTCAAGGGCTTTATTTTCCTGTTACAGGTGAGAAACCTTACCACTGTGACTGGGACGGCTGTGGGTGGAAGTTTGCCCGCTCAGACGAACTGACCAGGCACTACCGGAAACACACCGGGCACCGCCCCTTCCAGTGCCAGAAGTGCGACCGGGCATTCTCCAGGTCGGACCACCTTGCCTTACACATGAAGAGGCACTTTTAAATCCCGAGACAGTGGATGTGACCCACACTGCCAGAAGAGAATTCAGTATTTTTTTCCCAGTGAGGGAAGGAGCCCAGCTGGAAAGCACTACAATCATGGTCAAGTTCCCGGCAAGTCTTGTGGACGAATAATCAGGAGACAGGAGGAAACCCAAAGACAAATCAAAGAACAGAGAGGGGGGGTCTGTGACTGGATCTTCTAACATTCCAATTCTAAACCCAACTTGAATATTCCTGGACTTACAAAACGCCAAGGGGGTGACTGGAAGCTGTGGATGTCAGGGTATAAATTAGATCCGTGAGTTGGGGGCGGGGGGGTGGGGGGGAAGACCAGAATTCCCTTGAATTGTGTTTCCACGCAATATACCTATAAAGATCACTTTGTATTATTCTCTTTGCCTTCTAAAAGCCATTATTATGATATTAGAAGAAGAAGTAAAAATTCAGGTACAGAAAATGTGTTTTAAAAGACTAAACTGGTGCTTGGTGAGTGGTGAGTCTTGGTTCTAAAGGTACCAAATGAGGAAGCCAAAGTTCTCACACTGCTGCATACTTTGACAAGGAAATCGATTTTTGTCTTCCGATCTACATGTATGACCTAAGTCAGGTAAATAGACCTGGTTTACTTTAACCTTTTTATGCAGACAGTCTGTTATGCACTGTGGTTTCAGATGTGCAATAATTTGTACAATGGTTTATTCCCAAGTATGCCTTAAGCAGAACAAATATTTTTTTCTATATAGTTCCTTGCCTTAATAAATATGTAATATAAATTTAAGCAAACTTCTATTTTGTATATTTGTAAACTACAAAGTAAAATGAACATTTTGTGGAGTTTGTATTTTGCATACGCAAGGTGAGAATTAAGTTTTAAATAAACCTATAATATTTTATCTGAACTCTGTTTTCGTTTCGTTTTGTTTTCCCCTGAAAAAGTATGTAGCAGAAATGTCCATTTAAACAGTGGGTAGGGCTCAGCAGATGAAAGGAAAGCTTTAAAAGGCTACTTAGTCTTACTATTACCACAGCCAGTGTGGTAGGGCTGAAAACCCTGGGTGCTGGAGATCACAGAATTAAATTTACCTGTCTCAGGTTGCTCTTTCCAATGTACTTGAGTTTCCTTACCTGAGTATGAACTGACAGGTAGAAAAAGCTCAATCAATCATTCTTCAGTTTGCTCAGTTTAATATGAAAGTATTCATAAAGTAAATATACACATTCCAGTTATACATTTTAACAGATCCTTATGGTTTCTTAAAATTAAATGAATGTAAAAATCTATCTCTTGGAGGCCTGGCCTTGCAGTCAGAACAATTTGTGTAACAAAAGAAACTTCCCACAGCTGGGAACCCTAAGAAGTAGTTCCACAGTGCCCTCCTGAGGATTAAAGTACTCATTTATTCATTTATCCTGCGTGTGTGTTACAGATAATACTTGCAGCCATAAACCCTAACCAGGTCAGAATCAAAGTTTCTAGCAGATTGTTTTTAAAACTTCATCAGTTCTCTGAAGATGGACGGCCCTATTGTTTCAACAGACTGAAATCAAAGAATTACAAATTATTCAAAGTCACAAAACTAAGTGTAAATTTAAATTTTTAAATGATGTTTTTGTAAGCTTGTTGCATATTTCTGGAGTTACTAAAGTGTGAAACTGCACTGAAACTTTTTTGGGGTGGGTCCCTCTAAGTCTGAGACTGAGCTGTGGCAGTCGCAAAACTGGAGAAAAGCATTTGTGCCACTTGTTGATGCTATATTTGTAATGGGGATGTGGGTGACTAATTAACATTGTCAAGTGGACAGAAGCTGACTGGCATTTTCTTTAGATGCTTATTAACCACCCATTATATCTACAGTCCAGAAGTGTTTGCACCGTGGGTGTATTTTATACATGGAATAAAAAACAGCAATTCATAAGAGGATCATGGTGGACCAACACAAGGTATTTTCCTTGGCTTTTAAGAGTCCGGCACAGCCCTGGCCGGTGTGGCTCAGTTGATTGGCCAAGAGGTCGCCAGTTCCATTACTGGTCAGGGCACATACCTGGGCCTTGTGCTCTGTGCTCTGTCCCCAGTCAGGGGTGCTTGCCGAAGACGACCAGTCACTATTTCTCACATCCATGCCTCCCTCCCTCTCTTTCTCCCTTCTCCTCTCTCTAAAATAAAAATATATTTTTTAAAAGAGTCTAACATAACAGGAAAACATGGCGTATGTCTTAGCTTAAAAGAAAACAGGTGCACCAATAGGATGGAATTTTATGTGGCCTAGAACATATTCAAAGCATTCTTAATGACATGGAAAAATGCTCATGGTATGTTAAGTGGAAAAAGTAGGATATAAGACTATGAACAGTATGATTCCAATTGTGTAACTTGAAGTGTGTGTGCATTGAAGGAATGAGAAGCAATAGAAAAGGGGAAAGACTGGACTGAAACGTCAAAATATAAACACTAGTTTTCTCAGTTTATATTTTGCTATATTTAAGCTTTCTGTAGTTTTCAAATATTCTAAAACAAGTATTTAAAATGGAGAAACTTTGTTTTTCTAGGAATCCACATCTAAGTATTTAGGCTTTAATTTTAAAAGAGCAATGAAAGCTACTCAGACAAGGAGCCTATATTTGAACACATTTTTCTTCATATTGTGGTTGTAGTTCTTATACTCTGCCTTTGTCTTACTCAAAGCCTTCTGGTAGACAGTGGGTGTATGAAAAGTATTTATTGGATAGTTGTTGCCATCTTCATATTGTCTAAGTGCCTATTACCTCAAGTAGAAGAGACATTCATAAAATCTCAAGACATTTTAAATTTATTTAAATCTTTATAATATGATAGGGATCTACAACTTGCATTAACTTTTTGTAACTTGCAAAAGAGCTTAAATATTCAAAATAAATGAGGAAGATTTTCCAAAAATATAACAGGACAAACCTTTCAACGTGCACAGATAGCTAAAACTATTTAGTACCAATCAGTTCTGAGCTCCTGGGGACACACACTGTCATTACTGCATTACAGAGCCGTTTATCCTGCGTAGTAAGGAGCACCTAATAATTGAGCTGCCTGCTTATTACATTTTCCTTATAAGATTTAATTTTATATGTCCTCCATTTTAACTTACGTGCACACACAATTAACAATAGTGTTTCCTACACATCAACAGACTTTCCGTCTATCTCTTTTCCAATAAAATGCCTTTTTCAGAACGATGTTCTTTCTACCTGAAACCCTGTTTGACTCTGACAATCCTGTCTGGGTTTGTTAAAATGGAAACTGTCACTGTCTCCAGCAGGGTGGTCAGGGGAATAAGTCTTTTCCTTTCTCAAACTGTTCTAATTTTTAGAAGAAGGCAATGTTGTTTTACATTTGGGTTAACAATTTTTACATATAATTTTATTACATATTAGAAAGCCCAGATGAGACAGTCCTTAGGCTATGAAAGCAAATCCACAGGGAAAATAGTAAAACAAGCAGTGATGGTACCTGGTATCCTTTTGATATGTGGGAGTATCTAAATTGAGCAGCCTATGTCAGCCACCTGTTCTGTGTTCTGGCTTCAGGAGCTTTATTCAGCACAACGCCGCACATACGTGAGGGAGGTTACAGTCCACAGTCTCTCTCCTTCCACTCCCTCCCCGCTTCTCTCTCTCTTCTACACCCGTAAGCACCATCCAGTCCCACACAAAGCTTTTTATGTATTCTATTTATCATCATCTTATTTATTGTGTATTTTATTTTATGTAGTTATTTTATTTTCTCATATTTTCTTAGCACCTTCTAGAGGCTATCTGTAGTGGCATGTTTGCGTAGTGCTGAACTGAAGCTGTGTCTGCTTCCTAAAGAGTGCTTATGAAACTATTGTTCATGTGCAGTGTCATTCAATAATATTTCATATAAAACCACCAAGAACGCTACACAATGAATGCTATGGAATCATGTTCTTTTTGTGCAAACGCAAAGAACCTACTGTTACAATCACAATGCTGTATGAAAGTAGTTTTTTTTTTCTTTCTTCACATTAAGCAAAACTAAAATGAAAGTTGAGAACAAATACCTTTTGGAAGTGTTTACCTTAAGCAGGACAGAAATGTACATTCCTCGTCATCTCCTGAAAAACGAATAAAATGTTAAACCCTTAGGAAGTACCTAGAGCTTCAATGTCTGGTCATAGTCAAAACCTGGGGGAAACCAACTGCTAACATAGCATAAACACAGAATCCTTTCAGGCCGGTCCCTGGGCTGCCACAGCCAAGTAACAGGGAGAGGAGGGCCCATGAGGTAGAACATCAATCAGATTGCTTCTCTGGAATCTTGCATGTCGGGAGTTTCTCTCTTAAATTATTTTCGCGATGCCGTTGATAGAATCACTATTCGAATCGCTTCAGTCTTCTAGGCACCCAAGATGAGTCAGCATGTTGCAACTGGTCCTCCCAAGTGTCCTTCTCCACTTGTTCTTAAAGGAAAAGGAGGAAATAAATAGAGATCTAACTTAATAACAACTACAAAGAGTACATTCACATTTCCGGGATCCCTTTGACATTTACACCTAACAAAACAGTTTTCACTGGTATAATACAATAATTATAATGATACCCAACACTGTGAGGACCATTTGGCATCCTTTTATGCTTCTCTTCATGTCCGTGTTACATGCTATTATCTAAACAGAGTAAGAGACTAGCAAAGTAGCTCTTTATGGAAAAATAGGTAGGTAGGTAGGTAAATAGAGTCAACTTCAGGTAGAGGTTTGACAATCTAAAATCAATTAGGGCAGCCCGGGGCCAGGTAGGTCAGTTTGGCTAGAGCGTTGTCCCAATCAGCCAAGGTTGCAGGCTCAATCTCCAGTCAGGACACATACAAGAAGCAATCAGTATATGCACAACTAAATGGAACAATAAATCAGTGTTTCTCTCTCTCCCTTTCTCTTCCCCCTCTCTTCCTCTAAAATCAATAAATAAAATTTGCCCTGAACCATGTGACTCAGTTGTTTGGCCATTGTTCCTCAAAGCAAACGGTGTCCAGTTCAATTCCCAATCAGGGCCCATACCTGGGTTACAGGTCTGGGCATGTACAAGAGGTAACTGATCAATGTTCTCTCTCACATCGATGTTTCTCTTCCTCTCTGTCTTCCTCCCTTCCCCTCTATCTAAAAATAAATAAATGTTTAAAAAATAAAATCAATAAGTAAAATTTAAGAAAAATGAAAAATAATATCAACTGGAGCAAACCATCAAATCTGTCCAGTCCAGGGTGTCTGGGGCTGGGAGGGTGAGTGCAGTTATAATGCCTATCTCACCTGTAACACCTGGCCCTGTACTCACTGGCACTGGATCAGCATATGACTGAACGGCAGCCAGACCGCCAAGACACGCAGCCAATGCATTCAGATGCTATACTTGCATACCCACTTAAAAGCTAACGTGGGTAAGTAACTTTACAGGGAAATTGAAGGAACTCTAGGCACACTCACTGAAAGCCAGGGAGATAAGTGAATCGTTGCAAACCATGAAGCAGAGCCTCAGACATGAGAAAACTGGAAGGGATATTTTTCAGTAAGGACAAGCAAGCCACTTGTCAGACCTGAGCCACTTACTTCTATACAACTCGGCGAGGTCTACGGAAACATTCACCTCGATTAATCCTCACAGCAAAAGGTAAGGGTGGGATTCCCCTCTCCCATCCCCATTTTACAGATGAATGAACTGAGGTTCCCTTTACAAGTTAGCATTTGTTTTACCCTTGTTTCTCATCTTGTTGACATACTCAAAGCTTTTCTCCTCTAATTCTTTTGTCATCAGTTCTGCTGGGCAGGTAGGGCTACAGACAAAATAAATACACCCCAATTCAAAAGGATTTGCTAATATCCAGGTTCTTCCAGTAAACCTGTTCAAGAGTCAAAAGACCCAGACTTTCTGTCTCCCAGTCAGTGTGCTATTTCTTTTGTCTAGGCAGACTGACAGGGAGTGTCCTTCAGATATTTCTCGAGCTGGTCACTATGTAACATACTGATCTACACTTTCAGTGTTTTAGTTTTTTGTTTTTAGTTTTTTAATCCTCATCCGAGGACATGTTCATTGATTTTAGAGATAGAGGGAGAGAGGAAGGGAAAGAGAAAAAAACATCAACGTGAGAGAGAAATAGCAATTGCTTACCTCATGTAGGCAACCCGACTGGGATGGGACCTGCAACCTAGGTATGTGCCCTGACCAGGAATTGACCCTGCAGCCTTTTGGTGTATGGGACGATGCTTTAACCAACTGAACCACCCAGCCAGGGCAAACTACACTTTTAGTTTGATGTGTAACAAAAAGCTCCTGTTTCCGTCCTCACCTCTGGCTGAGCACACAATTCGCCAGGTCAAACAGAGCTGGTCCAGCCGCTCCCCTACTTCCCCATGGTCCCCGGGGCCTAGTGGATGAAGATTTAACTTGGTTACTCCTCTAATTTTGGCCTCCAGCTATTTGTCTGGTATCTCCTCCTTAAGTAGTCAACCATTCCTTAAATGGATGGGCCGTGCTACACTACTCCTGACCCCCAACACATTATGCCTGTTTTAGCCTTTGAGCTTTTGCCTACATATGTTGGCCTCTGCTGCTTCTGGAAAGACCCATATTCCCTTCACAAGCTCCTGTATAATCTTTGAAGCCCAGCTCTTAAAAAGTCTCCTCCATTTCACTTGATTTAGATCTTTCGTTAAACTCTTAGCTTTATATATTACAAGATTTATTGGTCTGGGTCCTCCAAAAGGCATGAGCTCCTGGGAGGCCCAGAGAGCTTTTCTTTTCTTATTCTCCTTTCTTTTCATTTATAGATTTGAGAGACAGACAGACAGACAGACATCAATTTGTTGTCCCACTTATTTATGCATTCATTGCTTGATACTTGTATGTGCCCTGACAGGGGATCGGGGGATCGAACCTACAACCTTGGCAATTAGGACAATGCTCTAACCAACTAAACTAACCAGCCAGGCCTCCAGGGGAGCTTTTCTTATATTCCCTTGAATTCCCATAGTTACTGAATTTAATTGAATACATTAATCATTTATTTAGCCCGAAATCCTAGAATCTATTTTAGGTGATTCTCTGCATTGATTCTAGAAAGAATTTTGTTTATTTGGGTTTTTTTTTTTTTCTGTATTGGGGGAGGAAGAGAGGTGTCAGTTGACTCACAGGAAGCAGTTAGGGAACCACTGGGCATGGCCTTCAGGAAGCCAGACTTCGGAAAAAGGAAATATTTTATCCTTCTCCTTAGATAACTCACGTGCCTTCCAAGAACAAAACTATAAGTGTACTGTGAACATCTGACAAATAATCAAGCTTTTTTTTTTTTTTAAATCACTTTAAAAGCTTACAGAAGGCATTTCCCACTCTAGAATTCTGGGTAGGCTGGTCTGCCCAAAGGAGGAAGGGTCACCCATCAGCCCAAGGTCACATCCAGTCAGGATCTGAACACCAACAAGTGCCTAGATCCCACTTAACTGGCCAATAATTGATGGCCAAGGGAAGCTTTAAAGGAAATAAAAATTTTTAAAAAACACCATGCAAACAAGGGTCGTTTTAAAAGGAAAATACTATATTCAATGAGACACTGTGCTCTGATGTCCAGAAACGCATTTCATTGTTCTCTACAGCCCTGCAGTAGTGCTGTTGACCAGCCACCCCAGACAGGCACTGTTCACTCACTCCTGTGTCCCTCCGTAGAGAACACAGCAACCATTCCAGGAAGGGGTTAAAATATAATCCTGGCTTTGTTCCGCTTTCTTTTTTCCTGAACTTTCATTCAAACATATATAATCTGCTCAAGGACCTATGTTACCAGCCTCTGTGCAAAGGGGAGGGGGGAAACAAAGATGAGTAAGTATATATAAATATGTGTGTCCACAGACATTCTTTCCCGGTACAATTGTTCCACGAAAATCAGCATCCTAGCCCTAGTAAAAACTGTTTACCTCTTTTGGAAAAGTGATGGTATAATTGTTGGAGAGACTCACCCACATTAACTACAATCCTATATACCATTTTTTCTCCCTACAATTTTCTTGATTGCTTATTATTTTAGATACATCCAACTTGTTTATCAGGTACAGGTTAAAGCATGTAAAACACGTTATTCAGGTTTAGCATGAAGGTTTTGGCCTTATTCAACAAAATATCACAAACTTCTGTTGGAATGAAAGATTCTGGCAAAAACAGAGCTCCACCGGCAAACCAAGGCCCCTTCAGTTTTTATGATTTCACGATTGCACGCCTAGACCAGGGGAACAACCTGATTTTGTTTCAGGCAAAACGAACTTTATAGCCAGGGAGCAGGACTGACTTTTTGAGTATCTCTGGGTGCCAGAGCTTGTAGAAACAGAGGAGACTTTGCCTAAGGGATTCTTTGCATTAAAGACTTTGTTAGGCAAAGCCACTCTGGCCTCAGAGTCAGATTTGCAATTTGTGCCTTTGTAAAAGGATTAGAAGATGGCTATTGTTTCATGTTGGGATGGCAATTTGCATTTGGAAACATGTGACCTCTCCCAGCTTTAGAGTTCCCCTTTATTTTCACTTTCTTGTCCTGATACACAATCTACACTGTATGCTAAAATTTGATAAAACTGCTTGCCTTAATGTTTGCACTGATTAAGGGATTGTGATAGATTGGTTTTCACTATCAGTGGTGGAGTCTGCTTGGGCTCCAGCACTACTAAGCCAGTCAGTAATCTTTTTAGCAACTGACAAACAACACCTAGGTATAGGGACACACACGTCTCACTTACTTCCTTAATTAGAACACTTGGTGCTTTGAAAAATAAAAAATAAAAAAGTCCTCTGCCTCAGAACATATTTGAACTCTTCTGTCAAACGTCAAACTTATGTCTTTCTTCATAAAAGAAGGTATGGGAAAAACGATTTGAGGTTTCTAATAACAATACTCTCAGCTGTAGGTGCTATTTAACTACCTGTCCCATGGTAAACAATTTTTAACTAACATTCGCTTTGACCACCCTCCCAGGTTGGCAACATAAAGCCTGGAATAGAAAGTGTGTGAGGAGGAACAACTTCTTGGATTGCAGGTTTTGGACATGTGGTTTGTTTGTTTGTTTGTTTGTTTTCTTTTTAACTCTTCCATTGCTCACACCTTTATTGTCATTGAGCACAGGAAAATATTTCTCATGTGTCAGGATGGATGAATGTAGGTGGAACTTGGGAGTTGCTGGTTGAGAGAGCTGGGACTCGACTCAGGCAATTCTCTGCATTGATTCTGGAAAGAATTTTGTTTATTTGGTTAGACGGTTCAAGGCAGATGAAAAGAGTCACCTTCACTGAACACCTAAGGTATGCCAAGAACTTTGCTATACGTTTAGGAATTTGTTATCATGCCCATTTAGTAGCGGAGGAGACGAAAGCCTGGAGGAGTCGGGTGACTTGCCCAAGGCCACGCTGCTTTGATCGGAACCCAGATCTGCCTGACGCCTGAGCTCAGCCTCCTTCTACCACATCACACTGACTCCCTGATCAAGTAAAACCAACTTCACGTGGGGAATTATCTGCTCCTCATCTCCTTGGAATGCTTTCTTTTCTTTTTTCTTTTTTAACCTAAACAGGGGTTCTGTGTGGTGCACAGGAAGCTCTTGGACAAAATTAAACTAACCCATCCCTCTTTCTAATAGCAAACGTAATGTTATCTGTCATTCTATCAGAAATAAACCGCATTCGATGGCATGCCCACGTTTTTCCCTTCCCTCTCTTCTTCCTCCACAGGCAGGCATCTCCTAAACTCTAAGCATCCTCCCAAGACTTGCAACCAAGGGGGCAATGGGCAGCGTCAGCTCATCCCAGGATTACCCCTCAACGTGTCTCCACAGCCCCCTTTTCTGTGATTTTCCAGTGAGCCAAAGCAGCCCCACCTAGGTCTCTCCTGTTTCTTCTTCAATGCTAAGCCCTTCCTTGTTTCACTGTCCCCAGCTTTAGTAAATGTACCCTCAAAATTAAAAACAAAACAAAACATATACACATCACATTCCTCTCTGCTCCAGTTTGGATAATGACTCAAGAAGAGGCCGTTTGTTTCTGCATTGTGGCACCCTCAGAGCCTCTGTAAAATTGTCACAAGTAAATAAGCCGTTGCTTTTCTTCCTGGGTATTTCATTCAGTGACTCCAAGGCGCTTGATACCTGTATTCCATTCAAATAAAGACTAGCAGCCATTTTGATAGTTGGGCCAATTGGAAGTAAGCCTAAAAATAGTTTGTAGCTTTTGCTAAAGATCACACATTCTGAGGCCCCTTTGAATGAAGAAAGCAGAAGAAAAAACCAAAAGGAGTGGCACTTTGGAGTATAGTGTTTTGGGGTTCTCTCTCTCTCTTTTTCTTCTTCTTTTCTCTTTCTGGAGTGCAGCACTTTGAGCCCACATTCTCAGCCATGCCCCCCGGGAAACGCTGCCTCTTTGCCACCTTCCAAACTGCCCTGCCAACATTCTCCTTATTGCTCCCAATATTTCAAGAGAATCCTTTTTCCCTTAAATGGGATCTCAGCCTAAAATAGATCTGGGTATGTGCCGTAGGGCATGAACAAATGACTCAGATCTCAGAGGCAGGGAAGGCCCTTCCGAGCAGGGGAGCACAGTCTAGGGCTCCAGGAGCAAATGAGCCACCAAGCTGAAAGGAGGTCCAAGGGACATTTCGCCTGAAGGTTCCTTTGCAGAAATGAGAAAGTCGAGGCCCAGTCTCCCACAGTTATGCTACTGCAGAACCTCATTCCAGCCTAAGACTTTTCCAGACCCTCATCCTCAGCCTGCACATGTCGCCATAGGTTAAGTTGCTAAGCAAGACCCAGGGGTTAGGTTTATATCCAATTCTTTCCATCCAATAGGAGGGCATTGGTTAAGTAAGCCCTAAAAAGTCCCTAGAATGAACTACCATGCTCTATTAAAATCATCTGGCAAACAATGAATAAGAGTCAACTATGGCTACTACTAAGGTTTACTACATGCTGTCCCTATACTCAGTATTTTACATGCTTTTTTTTTCTCATTTAGTTCCCAAAAGAAACCTATGAGACAGGAACTATTATTTTCTTCATTTGAAGGATGAGGAATCTGAGGCAAAGAGTTTAGGTAACCTGCCTTAAACCACAAAAGTGGTGAGTCACAGGATTTAAACCTGATTCCACCAGTGCCGTGTTCTGGAGCCACAGACTCTTTACACACAGACGACTGTTCAGACATTAACAGGAGTGGGGAAAGCCTGTAGAGTAGGATACAACTTGGTAAAATATATCTGTTTTTTTGTGGTTGGGGGTATATTTGTACTGGAAAAATTCTAGAAGGACCATTCAATATCAATTCTTGGAGCAGCCTCCCATGGCCAGGCTAAAAGAGCCATCCCAGTCCACCGCTGTTATGCTTTACCTTTTTAATGTGCTTGACTTTTTCCCATGGTAGTGACCAGTACCTGGGATGTAATACATACTGGACCTACCCATTTATTGTCTAGCTCCTCTCCAGAGTGAGGGATAGGTCATGCCTTTAAAAAGTTCCTAATATGGCCCTGGCTGGCGTAGCTCAGTGGATTGAGCACGGGCTGCGGACCAAAGCATCACAGGTTTGATTCCCAGTCAGGGCACATGCCTGGGTTGCAGGCCACAGCCCCCAGCAACTGCACATTGATGTTTCTCTCTCTCTTTCTTTCTCCCTTCCCTCTCTAAAAATTAAAAAAAAAAAAAGAGTGCCTAATATGTAGTAGGTGCTCAATAAACATTTGTGGACTTGAATGTAGCAAATGCTTAATGCTGTTTTTTTTTAAAATCTCCCTCTTGCTTTCAAAAAGGAGCAATTTAAATTTTCACTATTTCAATGGATTATTAATTTTTTAAATATTACATCTGAAATTCTCTGAGCTAAAAAGAAAATTCCATTCCACTTAAGGATCAAGAACCTAAAGTGGTCTACTTGAAAGTGCAAAAAGTTGACCTCAGTCATGCTAGACAGTCACCTTCGCAAGAACAGGAAGTTCTTTTGATGCAGAAAAGGAGACCATTGGAAATCCACTTAGATAAACTTGCTTTGAGTCAAAAGAGGCTCATTAAGGTTTCAACTGCTAATCCATTTAGTGCCCTATTCACCCAGCCAGCTTTTCTGAGCACCCCCTGGGTGCTTAACCTTCCAGCCATCAGGCTCAACCGAACAACAGCAAAAGACAATGGACTGCAGATGAAGGGATTGACGGAAATTTTTGAGATGAATGAATGACCTCCTATCTGGCTAATGTCAAAATGAAAGGAACATTTGAAATGAACTGATATACATTAGTACGACTGTATCCCAATAATAAACTCTTTAAAAGGATTAGGCCTCCTGTGAATGGGAGTCTTGTCTTCAAGTCCCACGGTCTTGACCTTCCCTTGTATTGTTCTGCTCAAGGGTGGCAGTTTCAGATTTTTCGTTCCTAGCCACGTCCTTCTGCAGGGTGATTTTTGCCCCATCCGCAGCTTCAAGAGCCATCTACAAGTCAGGAATCAAGTATTCTTGCATTCCACGCTGAGGAGGGGGCTGCCTTGGCGGGCTTCCTCCCGCCCTCCCCAAACAGAACCAAGTTCCTATATAAAATTCATAAATTGTTGGCAGGAAAGAAATCCTCCCATTGGAAGGAACAGATGTTCTACGAGTAACTTTTGCCATTATGCTCTGTTCCTAATATGATAGTTTTAAAGTGTGGGGGGATGTTAACTTTTTTTTATTATTATTTTAAATGTCAACGTGTTCTGGGCAGCTTTTCCATCTCCATCTGTGGCATACACATCACCAGTCCTCCCACCACCCCTTTTTAAATTTCCAGAGACTAGTTGGGAACTGGAAAGATATTAAAATCTTTCCAAAGCGGAAAGTTCAATTCAACAAGTATGCTAATGTATAACCTAATGCAAAAAGTAATAGGATGTTTCCTGCCCTGCTGTAAATCTCAGAAACATTCTTTCCCTTGTACTCTTAGAGCTTGGAGGGGTCTTACAACACTTTTAACGGGGTAATGATGACCAATTAACAATCAGGGGTTGTTACTGGAAACAGAATTCCATGAGAGTAACCTATTCACAAAATTCTCTTTCAAAAGAAAAAAGAAAAAAAGCTTCAATCCCAGATTCAAATTCAAGAGGCTACTAGTAAGGCCATTTTCACTTCGTTATCACCTCGTTAAACTGCCCACCTTAAATGCTTGTGTCCCAGGTGACCGCAGGGAAGGGTCAAGGTCGGTGGATGCCACATACCTCGCCTGGGAGTAACTTTAGAAAGCGGGACTTCACCTCTGTTGGTCCGAGGTGGGGTCCCCTCCCCGGGGACAGTGATGCCCGCTTGCAGCTGCTCTAGCGAGGACCAGAGCTCCTGCTGGCTGTGGCCTGGGCCCAAACACGCTGATCAAATTCGGGTTCAATGTCGGAATTTGGTGAACGAGCTGGGTAGGGTGCGGAATCCGCAGGGCAGAAGGAGAGGTGACAGCGTGGGCGGGGTGGGGAAGTAGCGGCTGGACATTCAAATGCGACGGGGATTCTCTCGGAGTCCCGGCTTTCTGGTTGGGTTTCCCCTCCTCCTCTGGAGTCGGAGCCAGACGAGTCTAAATCCCCAGGTCCCTGGTGGGACCCAGTGCCGGAACCGCCACGTCCACCCGGGAAGACCTGGTCCCTGGAGCCTTTCGCTGCCCAAGTGGAGATGTAAGTTTGCGCGCACGCAGGGCAGGGCGCGAGAAGCACCCAGGTGGAGAGCCGACCCGGGGCCGAGCCCCTACAACTCCCGAGGTGTCCATGCTGGCCCCCGCGGGGCTCGATCCGCCTTCTCTGGCATCCTCGCAGGGAGGCTCGTCAGCACTCCGTGTTGGGGTGGCTGGGGCCGGCTGGGGCCGGGGGCGGGGGGCCAGAGCTGCGCCCGAAGGCCCTGCGGCCCCCGGGAGCCTGCAGCTGGAGGCGGGCGCAGGGCGGCAAGCGGTCTACAGTGCCCCCCGCCGGACAGCCTGGGGCAGGACGGGTCCAGGCCGCAGATCCCCAGCGCCGCACCTCTGCGTGGGAGACGTGCGCCCCCTTTCTCTCCGCTGTGGTTGACCCAGTGTTAACAAAATTTAAAATCAGGTCCAAGCGGCTTCTCATGCTGGCTGTGTCACATCCTGGCTTCCTGCTCCTGGGAGCTCTGGACTGCTGCCTCCCTTTAGCTAATGTGGATAATATCCCCGACAAAGTTAATGAAATAAAGAGAGAGCATGCGCTCAAGCGCCTGGTGTAGAGTAAGAGGTCAATAAGTAGCAGGTGTTGCTGTTGTTAGCTGACTAGACTTTGGAACTTTGGATGGGGGTCTCCCTGAAGTCTCTGCTCTTCTATGGGTGGCGGGGGGGGGGCGCGGTTGAGGGGAGGAGAGGAGGGATGGCTTCTGCCTCCCCTCTGAAGCGACCCTGAGCACTCAGCTGGAAACCAGCTTTGCTGTGCATCTCACTCCACCTGTAACTGTGCACTCAGCCGTCCCCTGCTTGAAACTAATATCCTCATTGCAAAATAGGAATACTCATACCTGACTGAGAGTGACTGCAAGATAAGAAATACAGAGCTGCTGCTGTGCGCTCCAGGCAGGCCTCATCCCTGTGCCCCCTTCCCTAGCCAGCAGGTCCCAGAATACTGGTACCTGTAGCACAGGGCAGGTGCTGTGCAAGCCTTGCACACAGGCAGTGAGCAGGCCCCAGTTCCCGTATCTTACAACACGTGGGAGGTGCTCAGTACAAACCCCGCCTACTCCCAGCAATCACTACACCATTTACTGGCTACTCACTATGTACCTCTAGTGCTCCTTGTGTGTATCCCATTCTGTACCCTGGACTCTTTGGGCTGCAGGAGGCTTCAACTGCGGGGGTCCTTCTACCTCATCACCCCTGGAAAGCCCCTCTCACAGATGCCTCAGATCCTTTCTGGAAATTAGGAGTGTTAGGAATACTAAACACACACTCCTGACCTGGAGTAATGGAATGGACAGTCAGTTCCTGACCGTCTATCCTGCAACCTCAGCTACCTCATCTTTAAAATCTGGGGCAATAGCACCTTCTGGAGTGGACCAGTGTGAGGATGAATGGATTTGTGTGTACGAAACCACCAAGTACATAGCAGGTATTCAGCAAGTACTAATATACTATGATTTGTTCCAAGCACAAAGCGGGTACCCACATGAGTATTTGTTATACTGAACTGGGCTTCCCCCTTTGCTGTGTTCTTTGCCTTGGAAAACTACCCTTCAGGGGTCTCCCTGTCCTTGACTTTGTCAGATGTCATGCCCTGTCACCTGCCGTTCCTGCCTTCTTTCCAGAAGTTGGTACTTTGCCTGTAGGAAAACTGATGGATCTTCCCAGAGTTCAAGCTTTTAGGATTGCCTCTTTCAAACCTGTTCGGTGATATCTATTTCCAGTTTCCTGAGATAGAATTCAACATGGAAATCTATTTTCATTTTCTTCTTGGAGGTCAATGTGCCTTTTATTGAGGGTAGGGTGGGGTGGTAAAAGTTAAAGTCCTCCTGAGTTACATGAGCACTTCTGTAACAGTATTTTCTGCCAGCAATCCAAGTGTGATTCATTTTGTGAATGTGTGATAGGATGCCAGCACCTCCAGGGCTGGGTCCCTATGACTTGTCTAGCTCTCAAACATGACAGACTCCAAATGGGGGGAGTGGGGAAGTGTGCAATTTTTATACGGGCCTTAGCAGTTACATTGCACACTTGTGTCTGTTACATCCATTTAACCCTCAGCACAGCCCATCTTCTGGATGAAAACTCACTGAGGCAGGGTGGCTGACACGGGGCTCATTCCCACGGCAGTCCATCCAGCCCTGCCTCATCTCCAGGCCACTCTCTCGGGCTATGGCACGGGGCTTTTCACTGGCCACCTTAACAAGCATTCTTAGAGACTCTTTAGAAATGATAGGACATGGACTTTATTAATACAGAGCACTAAACAAATTACAGAGTTTTCCCATATTATGACAAGGTATGCAACAGCAGTTACTTTACCAAAACTATTCATTATGGGGCCATTTGTTTAAAGGTTGCCCCGGTGGCTTGGAGACAGTGCCTTTTGCTCTGTGACTCACAGGAGGCAAAAATAAGTTACTATCAGGTGATGGTCATACTTAGAAGCCGAACTAAAAATGAGAAGGTTTGTCATCCTTGGGGGTTGGGCAGTTGGCTCCACTTTTCAAACTGGTAAGCTCCATGCTCTTCAGCATTTAAGATTTTCTTTGTGTCATACATGTTTCTCTTTCAAATCTATTCAAACATCTGCCGAATAATGATAGTGGGCCAGTTTCTGTGCTTGGCAACACACAAAGGGATATTATATGATCTCTGTGGTCCACTGTTTGAGAGTCTGGTAGGAGAGATGCATGTAGTTAAGTGCATCCAACAAACACCTCATCTGTAGAGTGGGGATAATCATGGGGGCTTGTGAGGCCAGGCCATGGAAAGCATGCGTGAGAAGCAGCTGCTGGGGACCTGACCCAAGGCAGGCTGTCACGAACGTGGGGCTCGCATTAACCCCATTTTCAACACAGAAACTGAGGCCCTGTGAAGGAAAGAGATTTGCTAGTTCACAGCATAGCCAGGGTTCAAATTCAAGGATTCAGTTCAAAGCAACTTTGAATTTCCTCTTCCAGGCCAGGACAACTCATCGGAGAGCCTTTGCAGGGCTTCTCCTTACCTGCTCTCTGTGCAGAGAGGGGTTTAAAGGATGCCCAGGTGTACACAAGCTCTTTGTCTTAGTTCTGGACTATATCAGATGCGTTCCCCACCCTCCACTCTATTTCAGTTTTCCACAGAGTTCTACTGGAAGAGAAGCATGATTTTCCAGCCTGCTTATCCTGGCAGTGAATAGGAAACGATTTCCCTCACTCCCTCCCAAAAGGATTGATTTTTACTTAGTGAACAAAATACATCAGGTTTCTCAATTCCTCGGGAATGAGACACGATTTTTTGTTGTTTGTTTCATATTTGGCTTTCTTGAGGTATAATTGTACACCAAAAACTCTGCCCATGTTTAATGTATATGATTCAATGAATATAGCCATATACATGTGTGATTCCATCACCACAATCAAGGTAATACACGTGTCCATTACCTCCAGATATTCCTTATGCCCCTGTGTGTGTGTGTGTGTGTGTGTGTATAAGAACACAACATGAGATCTGTCCTCCTAACAGTTTTCCGTGCACAACATCATAGTGTTAACTCTGTGCACTATGCTGTGTAACAGATTTCTAGAATTTATTCATCTTGTATAACTGAAACTTTATACCCATTAAGCAATAACTCCCTATTCCCTCCCCCCCACCCCCCACCAAGCCCCTGACACTCACCAATCTATTTTCTGCAACAATTAGTTTGACTACTTTAAATACTTCATACAAGTAGAATCATGTAGTATTTGTGCTTCCGGGCCTGGCTTATTTCATGTAGCATAATGTCTTCTGAGTCCATCTAATTGTCAGAAATGGTAGGATTTCCTTCTTTTTTTAAAAGATTGAAAAATATCCCCTCGCATGTGTGACATTTCCTTTATCCATTCATCTGTCATCTGGCTGTTGTGAATAATCAATGCTGCAATAAACATGGGAGTGAAGATATCTCTTTGAGAGTCTGATTTCAATTATTTTGAATATATACCAAGAAGTGGGATTGCTGAATCATATGGGAGCTCTAGTTTTAATTTTTCTTTTTAAAGATTTTTAAAAAATTATGTTTAGAAAAAGGGGAAGGGAGGAAGAGAAACATCAACCAGTTGCCGCTTGCACACCTCCAACTGGGGACCTGGCCCACAACCCAGGCATGTGCCCTGGTGGGGAGTCAAACCAGTGACCCTTTTGGTCTGCAGAGCAACACCCAACCCACTGAGCCACACTAGTCAGGTCTCTAGTTTTAATTTTTCTGAAGACCTTTTATAATGTTTTCCTAGAGGAGGCACCATTTTATATTTGCATCAACAGAATACAAGTGTTCTAATTTCTCCACATCCTTACCAACACTTACCTTTTGGGTTTTTTAAAAAAAATAGTATTTATACTAACAGATGTGAGGTGATATCTCTTTGTGGTTTTGATTTGTACTTATGAGTCGTGATGTTGAGCACCTTTTCATATAACTGGTAGCCATTTGTATATCTTCTTTGGAAAAATGTCTATTGTATTCCTTAGCCTGTTTAAAAAATTGAGCTGGTTGGGGTTTTTGCTGTTGTTGTTATTTTGTTTATGCTATTGAACTGTATGAGTTCCTTGTATATTGTGGGTATTAATCCCTCATCAGATAAATGGTTTGCAAATAATTTCTCCCTTTTCACTTTGCTGATCATTTCCTTCCCTGTGCAGAAGTTTTTATGATGCAGTCACGAT